CATATTTAGCTACAAAATGCGCACAAGGAAGAAGTACAATAGTAACTTGTCACATGTAAAAATGGTAATAGCCACTTCAGTGCATGCATCATATCACATGGACATTGAGAGGTTAAATTTGTTGCATCATCTCCTTATACTAAGTGGAAAATTAGATCACATACCACCTAATATTCAAATAGCAATCACGGAAATCAGTCTAAAAGGCACTTAGGTATCTCCATAACTATAATGGAGTGTGATTTATTCAACTTTTCTCAAACCATATGCTCTGGATAGATAAAAAATAAATTGGTAAAAGATAAACAATACCAGTATAACATCCACATATTTTCACTTAGGGCAGCCAAAAATCATAAATTCTAAATACAACTAACTCAATAACACAACAAGCTTTTTTGGCAACGACACAAGAACTTCACTTCATCTTTTGACAAACATGTAATCAGATAAACATAACAACCAAAGATAAACAAACCTTGAAACAAAGGACATTGTTAAAAGGTAAAGGAGTTGCTGATGAGAAAGCATAGGAAGGTAATTCATTGCAGCTCTGCGAACTGCGGCATCCTTGGCTACACTGAGCCATTGTGGAGTCCCAAAATTAGCAGCCTCCCCACAGTTAAAGCCTAATGAAGATGGGATTGGATATAGCAAAAAATTTAACCAAGTTATAGAAATGTGCTATTCCATCCAATATACTAGAGAGAATGCGATAGAGACGGAACACAGACATGGTAAAAGCCAACAATGGCTATTCAACATAACACAGACATGGTAAAAAACAACAATGGCTATCAATAATCAACTACTTTATCAACCATTGCACTATTTTTGCATCAAACAAGAGAAGGGAATTCAACAATACTCCATGGAATAACGTCCATCATATTAAACTCGATAAGGATAGAAAAATTAATAGCAAAACTACTAGCTAGCACCATAAAATTCAATGTGTGCTCTTTCCAACTCTTTTGATACTTATTCACCTACCATGATCTGTTATAATTGGGAAGCTCTCATTTGAAAGTTGTAATTGTTCTTTTGTTCTTTTATTTTCTTGTCTACTTCTTTCTTCATTTACTTCTTTTTTCTCTTCCTTTCTATCTCACTAGGAGTGTGTATCTTTGAACAATTTTTGTTTTTTTTCATATTTTCAAGGAAAAGTTCGTATCTTGTTAAAAAAAAAATCAATGTGGCCATTTTGAACTATCTTGAGTAGGGGAGGGACCTATTAGGCCTCTTAACTTTCCCCAACCTATTTATACATTACCAGGTTCAGCTGAAAGATACCTACTCATAGAAGATGTAGGCGCATGTTTATTATCATAAAAATCAATACAGATAAAGAAACCGGAGTTTCTATTTCATACAAACAAGTTTTCCAAACTACCACATCCAAAATGCGTCTTCAACAAAAACAAACTTTCAAGCAAAATAATGCTAATAAACCCTTGTATGCCTGTAAAAATAAGAACATTCAAGAGAAATTACCATGACTGAACCCAACATGGTAAGCCCTTGGAAAGGTGACAACAAATTCTCCTGGATTCTGGATTAACCTAACGTAAAACACTAAAGTAAATATGAGGAGAACACCAGCAAGGACATCTAAGAAAACATAACAAATATTAGTTGAAGCTCCAAAACAATAAAAACATAACAAATATTAGTTGAAGCTCCAAAACAATTAATTTAAGATGTAGATGAAATAATATTTCCAGCAACGTACCTACAACAAGGAATACCTGATGCAATCACAGTCTCGGGAGATAGAAGTGTAGTCTTTTCACCCAGTAATGTAAGAGCAGCTGACAATAAGAGTAACTGAACATGAGTTATAACAATGACATGAAAGAATTTCCAAAGTGAAAAACTAATCAACCAGTAGAAGATGAGAAAATTGAAGTAATCTAACTTCAGTCATTCCTCCATCAAAGTTGACAGGTGATGTATCAAAAATATTTTAATTCACACAACTAGACATGATAAAAAAATAAACTTCTAATTCAATTTTCATCCATAGGTCTTGGTGAATCAAGAAAATAAAACATATAAGCAGACCCCATACCTGTGCAAAAAGAAAATGGAAAAAGGGGGGACCTCTGATGACAAAAATAAAAAAATTCAAATT